CCTCTCAGTTCTTGAAATTCTGTATTCTAACCCCCAATTCTTAACATTAAAATTCATTAAACAAAATTCAGGTGAATCATGCTGTGCACTTCAGGGGCTTGGCAGGGTCCAGGTTTAGGAAAGCTGGTTTATATTCTTAGTTGGGCACAAGAACTATGAACGACTGAACCTAAAGCCAAAAGGAATTAATAAATCACACTGGTTATCCATTGTGAGATCAGTGAGATAAGATCCAGTATTGTGTTGGTATACATAATGCCATGAACTCTGATACAAAGTAGACCACTATTAGAGCTGCCTGTATTATTTAGATAGAGCACTCTAAATGCTTACAGATGGAGTTTGGGCTGGCCAGTTAAGTAATACATGTATCAGATTCAAGCAGAAGAACTGACATTTTAAAAAAGAAAACAGACCACATCTGTCAACTTACTTTGAAGATACTTAAGAGTTTGGATGTATTTCCCAACATTGTAGATTATCTTACAGGATGCTTCACAAGAGGTCAAGAAGCTTATACTAAAGAATGTATGGATCATAAACTATACTTACAGCAAATATAGTCAGCATCAACTTCTTTTTGTACATTTGTACGTTTGTTTTCTTAAAAAGTATATTTTTGACAGAAAGGTACTAGGTCATATCCACAAAATAGAGTAGAAAATCTATCACAGCAGAGCTCAGTAACACATAGGGTTAGCTCATCCTGTTTTCCCTTTTATCATAGTTCTTGCCTCCTTCTAAGCATATTCCATCCACCATCCCATCCTTTTTCTTTCTTTTTGTGGTCTTTTTTCCTCTAATCCTTCCCCACCATTATCTGTCGCAAAAAGATGCAAGAGATCTAACTAATGTTCGATGCTCCTATCATTTTGCCTCCTCTCTCCCAATTTTTGTTTGGGAATGATGACAAATTGATAAAAAAAATAACTGCCTAACATTGAAAGGGGTCCAGAGAAAGAGTACAGCCATGGTAATTTCTTCTTAGGGAAAACAGGAAAATTGGGTTCATGTACAAAACTGTTAGGGAAAGACGAGTCATATTTATTAATTCCTCTTACCCACAGTGTTCAGTTGAAAAGGAGACAGACTGTATCTTCAAAATTTATCCAAGTCCCTCTATTGTTATGCTTGGTCATATTCAGTATGATAGAAGGGGAGCACTGGAAACTGGCTTTTTAACAGAGGCGATTGCTAAGTACATTGTCCTTTACATCTATACTTCAACTGACACAACAAACTTAGCATTAGAACAAAGAGGAGAATCCTGTGGTTCTTCAAGCATTCTTCAATACTGCTATCCCGAGTGGGGTGATAATTGTAGTTCAGTAACACTTAAAAGTCCACTACAAGATAACTTGATATTTCATTATTTGAAAGGAGCTTCCATGTCCAAAGATAGTCCAGCTTATATAAAGAAGAAATGGTGCTAAGTCTAATTTATATTTATATCCTGTATTTTGTTTGCATCAATGGTGCAATACACCAGGTTGTGAATTTACTTCTATTTCACTTCACAGGTTCCCTCTATTCATTTGCAGATGAGTAGACCATTAGCCTGAGCTAAGTGATGCTGGCACTATATTCAGTTGAAACATCTCTAGACTACACAATTTGGACCTGATGTGTGTTAGCAACAACCAAAGCCCCTGAATTTTCCTTCCTCGGATAGTGGATATATGTCCATTATCTTTTGTTTGTATTAACAAGCAACTAATGTAGAAGCAGTCTTCTTTTGGCAAAGTAAATGTGTAGAATTTTTCCTTCTTTTTTATGTTCATCAACGGTTAGATAAGTCACCCTTAAAAAGTTATTCTCCTCTCAGTAAATCTGATTGTTATTGATCATTATTAAAATAGAACCCCCAATCTTTTCAAAAGAATAAAAGCAATGCTAGTTACTCCAAAATTTCTACATTTCTCTTCTCCTTTCTTTGTAAAGCTTCTATCCTGGAGTGGGAGATCCTCCTGCATGGTATCAACATTACCATAGGTCTTTAGTGGTAGAAGAAAACAACCGCAAATCAGAAGAATGAAATTCTTTTCCCACATTTTGAGTAATAATTCCTTATATCAAATGGTATACATATTTTAAGAGAAATGGGTGCCTGTGGTAGGGTTATGCTTAAGGTATGGTTCAAACCATATACTAGGACACTGAATTAATCTCTTCTTGTATTTACAACGGATAGGTTTATACAATCCTAATGTACTGAGCTTATTATATACACACTTGTCTACCTATCTGTACATAATACTACTGCTATAAGTAATAAGAATAATACTACAATGTTCTGTATTCTTAATGCCATCTAATAGTTCAGTTCTTTTTCCGGACCACTCTTTTAGGGATTGATGATCTTACTCTTTTCATCCCGCATTAGTGTTCTTGTAGTTTACACTGTACTTTATATTTTATCTTTTATCTTCTTCTCCGCTCTCCAGTTTCTATTCTTCAGTAGGTCTTGCCTATAGGTTGGTGTAGCCCAGGAGTTGTTTCCTTTTATCAATTTGCTTCATAATATCTCAGTCCTTATCAATTTGTAGAAATGAGGGTGAACAATTTTGATTGGCTGGTAGCAGCTGTTTTGTTTCTTTGGAAGGCTTGAAGTTGTACTTCTCATTCCAGTTTATGGCAGCTTTAAGAGCCTCACTGTTCAGCCGCCAAAAATGTTTAGATTCAGTTTCCTCCTTACATTATTGGCTTCTCCCTCAGCTCAACTCCCTCCCTCTCTTCTATTGACACCTTGTGCCTCCAGCATTTCTCTTTCTAATCTCTTTCTAGCAGTTTCAAGTTTTCCCTTACCATACCAAACTAACTGAAAAGGCAAAAAGACCCTTTTTATTGAGGGTCCCTGTAACTCTCCAGCCTTTTGTCCTTGCTAGTTGTTTGACGAGGGATACAAAATATGATAAGAATCCACCAGGATATTTTGTTTTCCTGCTTGATGTTGAATGATAAACCTGTATGGTTGGAATACAAGGTACTATTGAGATCATTTGGTGGATTCAAGTAAGCGGCTGATGTCAGTAATGACTTGGAGATTCTATCTCCATCAATAAACTTTATGCTTTCAATAGCTCATCACAGTGCCAAGATTTCATGTTCAAAAGCACTGTATGTTTGCTGTTGCAATGGCAGTTTTTTGGCCAACTACAGAAGAAAGACAATCGTAGGTCTTCAGATATTTGTTCACACAGAGGAGTTCAATTTAACTTGTTGGGTTCTGTCTTCTATGTAATTTGTAATTGCTTGAGTATGAGTGGCAAAATGGGGGAATAAATAGCATAACACCCCTAAAAATGATGTGATTTGCTTTTTGGTTTCAGGTAAGTTTATTTTCTCTCAGGCCACTAACTTTTTCATGTGTTGCTTTACCTTCCCATTTCCTACTGTGTATTCTAAATATCTAACCTCTGTAAAGTCCAGTCTCCTGGGTTGCGGTCCGATTCTTTTAAGCATTTAATGATTTTCTCTAAGCATTTTAAATGTTCCTCCAAGCTTTCATATTACATGACTACGTGATCTAAATATACTTTACACCAAGTACCTCATCCTGGAATAATTCTTTTCATAAGCCTTTGGAGGGTTTTTGGAGGGTTGTCCCATGTTTTTACAATTTTTCTAGACTGATAAACATTTGAAGATAGCAAATGTTTTTTCTCCCTCTACATTTATTTTCTAATGGAATCTATCAATAATGTTTGGTCAAATTATATGCTGTGGAGAGTAAGGAGGATGAGGTAGAGAAATTCATTACCAAAGCAAAACACTAATTAAACCCAAATAGTGAAGATAGTATACGAAAACATCTCAGATGGACACACCGCAATTCATATGGATTTAAGAAAGGAAGGAGGTAAAACATAATCATATTTCTAAGATTCAATTACTATAGGCAACTTTAATAGAAGGAGCCTTAGTCTTAGGAGTTGATTTGTCAGAGTTACATCTTGGGGTTAACAAGTGTTGAAAGATACTTGACATTGCCCAATTGGTCTATTAACTCATACATGCGTGGCACAGAGTAACTATAAAACTTAGCTACTGTATTTATGAATTTTACTTTCCATAGTGTCCCAGGTCCCGAATGAAACTTTTTAAAAGAGCAGTGTACTACAAAAGGAAAGGCGAAAGACGGGTTATTATGGCCCTATGTAAAATGGCATGATTCCAAACCATTGATTTCTGTTGGCTTTTATTATAAATAATTATTCTCATGAAGTAAAGCCACATTAATCATTTTTAAAGTATCATAAGCACAGGATTACAACCTTGAAAGAGCTCCTCTGACTGAGGAAAAAGGGCATTCCAAATTCAAAATGGTTCAATTTCAAAATATTTTGATCAGCTCTAGTTACCCAAGTGATTCATGAACATTTATTGATCAAATAGCTTCTCCCAACAGGTGTTATGCAGATCTTATTTGATTTTACTAATTATCATCTAAATTTTATTTATTTATTAGATTTATACCCCACAGTTCTTATACAAATGCTCAAGATGGCATATAGAGTGCTCTTTATAATAATTGTAAGTGTTATTGCTTTGTAATTGATTGTGAATAAAATAAACATTACTCCATAAAGGACGAACCCCACAGATCATCTCTGTGAAAGTTAAGTGCAGAACTGTAATGAAAACTACTCTCTCCTGAAATGTGACAAAGCAAAAGTGTATATGTACACTTGATTCAGATTCTAAATCCTCTTTTAAACATATCCACATGGAATTGGCTTTTTCAGGCTTCTCTAGCTTTTGCTTTATGGAATTCAGAGAAACTTGCTGATGAACATATCATTCTGTTAGGCAGTTTAATGTTTCATTGGTTCATAGAAACGGAAAAGCCCAAATATCTTGATCAAACCTTATTCTATCAGTCTTTTTGAACCTCAGCAAAATGCACTGAGAATGTTCTGATTTTACTTCAAGTCATAGATAAAAGCATTTTCTAAACAGTTGCTTTGAAAGCAGTAAAAAAAATATGATATTATACATACCTTTGTAAGTTCTTTTAATTTCCTCTGCCATACAGCTTCTGCAACAGAAATGTACTTGCTGTCTGTTATGTAACAATTCGCCATGAGTACGTGATGGAGTTCAGCCTTCAAATTCATGGCTTTCAGGACTCTTTCAACATGATTTAAAGACATCAGAGCTTCTTTTTTGATGCCACCACTTGCAAGCTGCATAGTGCAGGGCACTAATGCAATTTGTCCAGAACAATACAGAGTATCTTCAACCTAGAAAAATAGTAATAAAGAAAGCCATTTTTAAAAGAGCGGAATTATTCCATATTTTCTAATTAAAAGTTACCATCTTTAACTTAAGTAAAAATATAACAATCTGAAGATAATTTCTGGCAGGAATTTAGCTACATTGTAAATAGCATTGTATCACATTTGGTTTTGGAAAGTTAAATGTAGATATTCACATATTCATAACTATTCTCAGACAAATCGCCAATGAACAGACCAATCTAGAAATATGTAGACTAACATAATGTCATAATATTTCCAAGGTATCAGTATGAAGATTTGTGTCATGTTTGAAGTAAATTTGTTTACAACCTGTCAACTTGGAAGAAAAGAAGGGAAGCTATAAATGTTATAATTTACAGGAATTCACTTTAATTTAAGGCAGAGATGATTCCCAAGGTTTCATGAGCCCCCAATAACATATAGTGATATACTGTACAAAGAAAATATGATATAAAATTAAGCAGTATCTTGAAATAAATTAATGTACTTACTATGTCATTTAAACTGTTAGCAGATCATTGTTTTTTCTTATTTTGCTAATTTTACATTAAAAAGTTTAAGGGAGTTACAGTATATTTTTTCTTTGAGTGTCCAAGATAATGGTATAGGCCATCAATGTTTTCTGACAGCTTATCATATATGCCAATGAAACAATTTCAAGAATAAACAGACTTAGTCTCAATCATTTATGCAATGGTTACATCAAGGCTTCATTTTTTCAATGCATTTTATGTTGCTTTGTCCTTAGAGACTCCCTAGAAGCTTCTGTTTCAGAATGTGGTTGACTGCCAGGACTTTGACTACAGCCACAAAAACACCTTGTAGCACACCGTTTATTACTTGCCTTAATGGTTATCAAATTCTTTTCAGATAAATCCACTTCCTTGTTTGGACTTAAAAACCAGATTATCTGGAATTCCCTCCCTACCAGCGCCAAGTACTGCTATGCTGGGAAAGGGGAAGTATGTGTTTCGAGAAGGCATGAGCCAAGATAGGCAAAGTATATGTGAAGAATATGCTCTCCCAGCAGAGTCATTCAAGATATGATAGTTCTCCCAGGTCTCCAGTTAAAGCAAACAGGTATCTACATTGGGCAACAGAGATTCAGGAAAACGTTGGTTAAAGATGATCACTTTAGTGACATCAGCAAAGGCATCATTTCATTCTGTGTTAGAGAAAGAAGTAGTAAATCATTTTACCAAATATAGACACATAAGATAAATTAAGTGTTGCTTTAGTGCCACCATATGAGGAAACCATCAGGTCGGATAACATTCAACATCCTAATGAGAAAGTGCTGAAGATCTTTTGGAGTACTGATATTATTTATGGCCTGGTTAGGTTAAAGCTTTTGAGACATCTTGTTGCCAAAGGAATAGGAAAGGAAAATCCAAAGATGTAAAAAAATAAATACAATGGGAACATGGAATGTAGGTAGCAGAAATTTGAGGAAGTTTAACACAGTGAAAAATGAAATGAATGAACTACACATTGATACTTCAGGCATCAACAAAGTGAAATAGTTGAGAACTGGATACTTTCAGTCAAAAATCATATTGTTTAATACTTATGAAATAAAAAAGAAAGAATATTGTGGCTTTCATTATTGGATAGATATAGCAAAGCCTGAATAAGATCAGTTAGGCTTGTTATCTATTTATGCTTCAACTACTAATTCAGAAGTAGAAGATTATGACAGGTTTTATGGTCAAATTAATATGAAATCAAAATAACATGCAAATATAAATATATATTAGGCAATTAACGTACAGCTTGATCTAATAGTTTAGGAGACTTGGAGTTCTAGTCCTACCTTGGGCATAACAGCCAGCTAGGTGACTCTTGACTAATCACTTTCTGTCATTGTAGCTCACTTCACAGGATTGTGGTTGTGGTGAAAAATAGGAGAAGGAAAGAGAATTAGGTTTGTTCTCCACCTTAAGTTATTTATAAAAATAATAAAGGGATAAATATCTATCCATCCATCTATCTAAAGTAAATATGTTGTTTATGGTTAGAGACAGAGGTGTCAGAACTGGAAATAGTAATCAGGAAAACATATTTGGATTGTACGACATAGGAAATAGATATGAAGTAGGAGATTGCTTATGTGCAAGTTCCAGTCAAGTTATAGCACAACAAAACCAACCAGTTTCTACAATATGATCATCAGCATATATGCCCACTATTTTCAAGGAGAACATAATCACTCTAAAGTCCTAAATTTGATACAGAACCAGAATGTTCTAAATTCATTGCAGAATGAAAAAAGTAGTTAAGTATGAATGTGAAAAGAGACTGCCAAAGATGTAGAAACAGAAGAAATCAAATTGGTATCAGAACAAACAGGGAATTGCCAAGAAGCGAATCCAAATTCAGGAAGGCAAACATCTCAGAAAGGAATTTAATTTTAGATACTAATTCTGGGGATCATTTAGGGCAGATTAGAACTTCATAGAACGAGAGATTCCAGATGTTCAAGGTGATTTAGAAAAGGCTGAAAATTAAGAGGCATTATGACTGATGAATGTTGGATAATTGTGAAAGCCAAGGAATAAATAAATAAAGATCAAGGTGTGCTTTACTGATTATAGAAAATCTTCAATTGCATTGATCATTGTCAGGCTGTAGAATATTCTTGGGAAAATGGGAATTGAAAAAAAGCTAATTATCCTCATAGAAAACCTATAGGCAGAACACAAAGACAGTCCTCATGGAATGTAGTGTAACAGACTAGCATCAGGTTTGCTAAGAAATGCAATATGATTGCATCTACTTATTTATTCAATATACAGTATATGTTGAAAATATATTGAGGAAGCACTGGACTGGAAAAAATGAATATGGTTTTTATATCAGAAGAAGAAACATCTGTAATCTGTTATGCTAGTGACACTATTCTGTATCTTAAAATCCAGATGATCTGCCAGCTCTAATGATGAAAGCCAAGGAATAATGAAAAATGGAACAATGACTAAATATAAAGAAAACCAAATGAATGACAATAGTAACCAGCCTTAGAAATTGACAATGAAAATCCTGAAGTGGTCAATAGTTTCTACTTTTTAAAGATAGAAGTAAAGGGACTAGCAATCAAGAAATATTGCCAGCATCAGATAGGACAGCCAGGGTTGCAATGAAGGCTTTGGAAAAAATATTCAGTTTCCATGTCATATCTATTCCCTCAGAGATCAGAACTGAGTATGCTCCAATTATTATATTTTGGACACATTATGCAAAATCCAACTCCTTTGAGGTTCCATAATACAGTGAAAGATGTAGGAAATATAAGAAAAGGATGACCAGAATGGAGGAAAATAGATTCAATTGCAGTTATGATTGGGTGAATAGTCAGGAGACCTGAAGGAACCGGTTGGGGATAGATAATCCTGAAGAAAATCTAACTAGTATGGTTGCTAAGAGTCAACACTGACACAATAATCACTCAATCAATTTGAAATCATAATACATCAAGAATCTTTTTATACACTTGAAATTAAGCAATAATTTATTTTCAATAGAATGACCAAGCTTTGTAAAACTTCAAGCTTCCCTCAGTAATACTTAATTTTGTTTCATCTCTAATTTAAATAGGACTTTCTTAAATTTAACAGAAAGTCTTCTGTGATTGTTTAAATATATAACTGTTTGTTTTTAAGCCGTGTTTGTCATTTGAAAGCACAAACCTTTCAACCTACAAAAAATAGTCCTTTTTTTCATTTCTGACACCACTATCCAGTCCATGGTTTAGAAACTTATTTTATTTTATTTATTTATTTATTTGATTTGTCAATCGCTTATGAGATAATAGGTATAAGTATATACATAGTTATAAATACATGAAATGGGTACATATAAGAAAAATAAAAAATACAATAGGACAGGTACGGTAGGCACATTGGTGCACTTATGCAAGCCCCCTACAGACCTCTTAGGAAAGGGGTTAGGTCAATAGTAGACAGTCTAAGGTTAAAGTTTTTGGGCTTTGGGGAAGAAATCACAGAGTCAGGTAGAGTATTCCAGACATTGACCACTCTGTTGCTGAAGTCGTATTTCCTGCAATCAAGTTTGGTGCTGTTAACCTTGAGTTTGTATCTATTGCGTGCTCTTGTGTTGTTATGGTTGAAGCTGAAGTATTCATTGACAGGTAAGTCATGTAACTTACAGACTTTGATATGAAATATTTGAAATACATCTTCCTCAATGATTGAGAATTATCTACAAGTCTTTTGTTTGTACAGGAAAGAGAAAAATGTGGGTCTGCTATTTCCAATAGTAGTCTGATATTGTTTATCACATTTGTAGCTTAGCAGCTTCATCTGCAGCACAAAAACTGGTCCTGGGGTTAACAGCTGAATCCCCTGGAAAGACTCACCAAGTACAATTTCTTCCAAGTCCAACAGATTTTATTCTTATCAAGTATACTACTAAACTTCCCATGTATTTGGGGGGGGGGGGGTCCTCAAAGGACAGTTCTCCTCTTTGACTGATCCAATAATGCCCAAGGGGCACTTCTAGCTATAAACAGGAGACTATGAGAACACTCATAGCACTGAGAACAGCTTTACTTTGTTTCTTGCATTAAACTAGTAACCATATAGAATTACAGACTCTATTCAGATAACTTTATACAACATTTATTCAACTCAATGGGCTACCCCTTTAAACCAAGGGACTCCTGGCAGCAAATAATTTTAAAAGAAAAAAAAATTAGAAAGAGAACAAAAGAAATATATACAGAAGATGAGAAAATTATCTTAATAATTGTTAATATAGCCACTAAATGGGGCCCTTAACACATTAAAGGCTTCAGGCCTGGGCACATAGTCAGGTTTTTAAGTTTTATGAAAGGCTAACAGGATTGGGGCTATCCTAATTTCTGAAGGATGATCCAAACAGCAGGGGCTACAGTGGAGAAGGGATGTTTCCTGTCCCTGCTAGCTGACAGTCCTTGGCTGATGGTATCTGCAAGATGCCCAACC